AATTGACAGGGGATGGGAATGGGATGGAGGACAGAGAACAGGAATGGGGACAGGGGACAGAGGGTGGGGACAACTGACAGGGGATGGGGATGGGATGGGGACAAGGGATGGGGACAAGGGACACGATGGGGATGGGAGGATGGGGACAAGCAGATGGTGATGCGATGGGGATGTGGTGGGGACAGGAGAAATGTGATGTGATTGGGACACAATGGGGCAGGAAGATGGGAACATGAGAACAGGGACATAATGGGGACAAGAGAACGAAGACGTGAATAGGACACGAAAATGGAGACACAAAGATGGGGACACAAAGACGGGGACACAACGGGAATGGGGACCCGATGGGGCAGGACATGATGAGGACACAAGGATGGAGACAGGAAAATGGGGACAATATGGGGACACGAAGGGACAAGAGGTCAAAGATGGGATGGGGACACAATAGGCACAGAACGACAGGAATGGAAGGAGGGGGACATAAGAACAGGGACACAATGGGGACAGGAGAATGAAGACGTGATGGGGACAGGGAAATGGGGACATGATGGGGACACAAGGAAAGAGGAAGGTGGGGACACAATGGGGTTGGGGACACGATGGGGATGGGGACACGATGGAGCAGGAGAATGGGGACATGAGAACAGGGACATAATGGGGACAGGACGACGATGACATGATGAGGGTATGAGGATGGGGACAGAAAGATGGGGATGAGAACACAATGGGGACAGGAGAATGGGGACATCACAAGGATGGGAGGACAGGGACAGGAGATAGGGACACGATGGGGATACAACGGGGATGGGGACACAATGGGACAGGAGGATGGGGACATGAGAACAGGGATGTAATGGGGACAAGAGGATGAAGAAGTGAATAGGATGTGAAGATGGGGACACAATGGGGACGTGAGGATAGACAGGATCACAGAGACGTGCCAGGGACACGATGGGGACAGGAGAATGGGGACGGGATGGGGACACAAGAGGCACAGAAGGATGAGGACAGGAGGCCCCCCTGCCCAGCCCTACCCAGCGTGTTGGCGATGCCGGTCTTCACGCTGGACGTGCTGACGTGGCTGATGCGATTCTCGTGCTCTGGTTTCACCAACACCACCACCTTGATGTTCCACAGCGACTGCATGGCCACCTGAGGGGGGGGAGATGCAGCTCAGCCCCCACCGGGGCTCGGGGACGGCTGCTGCCATCGGGCACCGACCCCACAGCGCCCTGTGATGCCATAGATCCAATGGCTGCACCCACCCCACAGCACCCAGTGCCATGGTGACCCCAACGGCTGCACCCATCCCATAGACCCCACTGTATCCCCAGTGGGTGTACACACCCCATAGACCCCACTGCATCCCCAATGGCTGTGCCCACCCTACAGGACTTGGGGCTACGCTGACCCCAATAGGTGCACCCACCCCATAGACTCCAATGTAAGGTGACCCCAATGACTGTACCCATCCCACAGCCCCAGTGCCTTGGTGATCCCAATGGGTGCACCCACCCCAATAGACCCCATTGTATCCCCAGTGGCTGCACCCACCCCACAGCCCCCAGTGCCACCATATCCCCAATGGCTGCACCCACCCCATAGAACCCACTGTATCTCCAATGGCTGCATCCACCCCACAGCACCCAGTGCCACGGTGACCCCAATAGGTGCACCCACCCCATAGACCCACTGTATCCCCAATGGCTGCATCCACCCCACAGCACCCTGTGCCATGGTGACCCCAATGAGTGCACCCACCGCACAGCCCCCACTGTATCGTCAGTGGGTGCATCCACCCCACAGCCCCCACTGCCATGGTGACCCCAAAGGGTGCATCCACCCCATAGACTCCACTGTATCCCCAATGGCTGCACCCACCCCAGAGCTCCCACCGCCATGGTGACCCCAATGGGTGCACCCCAATGCAAGGTGACCCCAATGATTGCACCCATCCCACAGCCCCCAGTGCCTTGGAGATCCCAATGGCTGCACCCACCCCATAGCCCCCATTGTATCCCCAGTGGCTGCACCCACCCCAGAGCTCCCACTGCATCCCCAATGGCTGCACCCCCCCCACAGCACCCTGTGCCATGGTGACCCCAATGGCTGCGCCCACCCCACAGCACTTGGGGCCACGCTGACCCCAATAGGTGCACC